TTATGCATTTTAATTAATTAAATTTATTTCTATTATTACCGGTCTGACTCCGAGTTGACTCCGTCTAACCCACTGACCCTTGACCCACAGTGTCTCGACCGGTTCACTAGCCGGTCCGGTTTTCAATACCTTGATTTTTGTCTGTCAAAGACTATATGATTTTTTTTTTGATCAATTTTGGATTACAAGTGAAGCTCATATCTCTTTTGTTCCAAAAAAAAAAAAAGCTTCAATTGTTATATTCCCAGCCCAATGCTTGGTAAGAGGGAGGGAAGGGAAGAAGAAAGGAAAATTTTTTAATAAGCTTAATTTAAAAAATTTAAAAAGTCGGATTCAAAATTTTGATAAAGAAAAAATATAAGAGAAGAGAAAGAAAAGTTTAATTAAAAATTTTTAATCCTACTTTTTAATTTTTAAATTAAGTTTATTTAAAAATTTCTTTACTTCATTTCTTTTCATTTCTCTCATACCAAACAAATCCTAAGAGACATAGTACTACCTGATTCTTAATACTCTTCTGGTCCTATTTATAAGGTGTTTGGAAAAAATTTTTGTTTAGATGTATAATTTTACTCTTCATTTATTATTGTATTGATTTTATTATATAAGGTATAATGTTTATTAAATAAAAATAAAGTTGAAAGTTATTGAATTTTAAATGAAAGTTAATGAAGTTTAAGAGTTTTTCTTGGTCTATGTGAAAATATTGGAAGTAGTAACTTATAAATGGTTTAGAGGAGTAAGGTTAGTTAAAAATTTGATTTGATTTAAATATAAGATCTCAATACTAATAGATTGCTAGATGCAAGTGAATTTACTGATGCCTTTCCTTTCATATTTATTTTTAATCAATTTTGGATTACAATTGAAGCTCATATTCCCCTTTTTTTTAAAAGAAAAAAGCTTCAATTGTTGTACTCCCAACCAATGTTTGGCATGAGGGAGGGGAAGAAAGAAATGCGGAGGAAAAATTTTATAAGCTCATTTTAAAAAATTTAAAAAGTTGGCTTCTAAAATTTGATAAAGAAAAAATATAAGATAAAGAAAAAGAAAGTTTAATTAAAAACTTTTAATCCTCGTTCTTTAATTTTTAAAATTAACTTCATTAAAATTTTTCCTTCATTTCCTTTCCTTCCATTTTTTACATATCAAACAGACCTTGAGGGACATAGTATCACCCCAATTCTAATAAAAGTTATTAAAAATTTAATTTAATTTTAAATATAAGATCTCAACACTGATTGATTGCTAGATACAAGTGAATTTACTGATTCCTTTCCTTCCATATTTATGTTTTGTCTTTCAAGACTATATGATTTTTTTAAATCAATTTTGGATTACAATTGAAGATCATATTCCCTTTTTTTTACAAAAAGAAAAAAGTTTCAATTGTTGTATTCCCAACCCAGTGTTTGGCACGAGGGAGGGAAAGAAAGAAGTGCGGAGGAAAAATTTTAATAAGCTCAATTTAAAAAATTTAAAAAGTTGGCTTCTAAAATTTTGATAAAGAAAAAATATAAGATAAAAGAAAAAGAAAGTTTAATTAAAAAACTTTTAATTTTCGTTCTTTAATTTTTTAAATTAACTTCATTAAAATTTTTCTTTCATCCTTTCCTTCCATTTCTCTCATATCAAACGTACCTTGAGAGACATGCAGTATTACCCTAATTCTTAATAAGAGTTAGTTAAAAATTTGATTTGATTTTAAATAGAAGATCTCAACACTGATTGATTGCTAAATAGAAGTGAATTTACTGATTCACTTCCAACCAAGACAAGAAGCTACTATGAAAATAAATATTATGGACAATTATTTTGAAGGACTAATAAATTATTTACGCTGAAAGACTCCTATGATTAAAACACTTTCAAATTCAGTCCGTAAGAATAATTGTCCCAAAATACTAAGGTACCAAAACCTGTATCATTGTTAAATTAGCTGAGGTTTTGCCGCATTGGCAATGATAGGGCATCGGGGAAACGAGGGGTCCTCTTCCCCCACCCCACATTTTCTTCGCTACTTCCATTTTGTCCCCTCTTAAATCCACTGCACATTAATGAATCAAGGTTCAATGATTTATTATGATTGAACTAATTTTACTTAAATTAATATATTTTTAAATATACATATCACATTATCAACTATTTTAAGTAAGAAAGATAACCAGCAGAGAAGGGAAGACCAATAGAGAGGAAAGAAGGCGTATAAAATGAAAATCAGACAAAATTTTTTTCACAAATTTACATAACCTCAATGTTCAACTTTATACCATCTAAACCGGTCAAAAAAACTTTATACCACTAAAAACTTCTCATCATGAACTCAATTGATGAAGCCTTTATCCCGTTTCTCGTAAGTTGCCTTTAACCTGTTTTCCATAAGTTTTCCTGACGATCTCGCCACATACTGGGGCTTGTGTAATTTATAAGTAGTTTTTTAATTATAATTTATAGAATATGAGATAAGTATGTGATAAAAATTTTATCTCGATTTATATAAAATGTGTTTATAAGTGTTTTTAAATGCTTTCCCAGACATGCTCACTAAAAGATAAGGGAAAATCATATTACTTCTCTGGTGTGTAAGATTTAATTTGAAAGTGAATATTAGTTTTATATATAAGACCTATTTTATATGTTTATCAATTTTTTCAGATTAACCCTATTAATATTCCTTCAATAATAATCAAGTAAGAGAAGAGGGAGGGAATTAAGGAAGATGATTAGAATGTTAAAATAAACATATCATATTAACTAATTAACTAATATTCTTAATTTACTCAAATTAATTAATTAGGTTTTACATTTAGGATTATAAGGCTACTATATAGTTTTAAGAGATTAAAATACTTCATAATAAGTGAATAAAAAATTTTAATGCAGAAAATAACAACAAAAATTCATGCTGCTCATCCGATTTTTAATGATTATATTTTTGTAAAACGTCATAATAATTTTCTCCAAAAAAACAAAAAGCATGTTCTTGACAACGTCCAATCCCTGGGGCTGACTTCTAAAACATGTTCATGTTGTATGTTAGTTAAACTAAGGCTGTCTTCCAAAAATTATGTGCATTTTTTTTTCATGATATTAACAATGTATTTTTTTAAGGGAGAATTATTATGAAGCCCCAAGAAAAAAATTTAATTATAAAAAAATCTCAATGATAAGTGAGTAGCATAAACCGGTTGTCATTTATTACACTGAAATTTGTTATTGCATACTCCTCAGTTGTCGATCAATTTTAGGGTAATTAAATTTCTTTATTGGGATCTTATTGCAATTTCCTTTTTTTTTTAATAATGCTCAAATTTGATAGAATTTTGCAATCACATAATTATATAAAAACATTAACCTTCTCATATTCACCGGAAAAAATTTGGGTGAATAAATTTGAAACGTTAAATTTGAATTTTTCTTTATAACTTAAAATATTCTCAAGTCACTTTAACTTAAGGTTAATTTTTATTAGACTGAATATTAAGATTAAAGCTCTCTTAACAAGTACGCTTTCTGAAATTCGAAATTTTGTTCTCCTTCTTATAGAGTAAGATTGCTTACTATCACAACCAATCAACAGGGTAAGCTTTAATTTTTCTATTCTTGTAAGTTCTTTTTTCTCATAATTCATGTATCTATTTTTTTTTTAATAAAGAGTTCAAACTCACAATAAAGACTTCCTCAATGAGGGTGTCATTAGACTATAAATCTCAATATAAAGATTAAGATATGCACAAAAACAAGTGTCTAAAAGTGGCAGGAAAAAAAACGATAAAGATGATAATAAAACATGCTCCAAACATAGTAAAGTGGATGTATATTTGTTGGCAAGCAATAATTTGAATGTGATTAAGAGAAGGATATGAAATTAGGAGACAGCAAAGGCAGAGTTGTTAGAAATGATGGAAGGGGGAAGCTGTTCGGCTATCGCGGCGACCTCGTCTCCACACAAGCGCACACTACACAGCTCATGCACTCTTCAATTTTCAAGATTATTGGGCCTCTCCTTTCCAATTTATTATGCTTCCTTCTTTTTCAAGCATTCATTTTTTGGCCATCCCAATGTAACCCCTATCAAAGCCTTGTTGACCTGTTTATAATTATGATTTCTACTTTTAATTGTTATTAATTAAGCAGACTTCAATTCAATACATCATAAACTTAGGCCAAATTTCATATCACTATCATATCAAGTTCTTCTATCACATTTTACTATATGACGTATTATTATTAATTCTTGGATCCCATGAAAAACATTACACATGATAAAGTGTGATTAATAAGATCTCGAGTTAAATATCGTCCTAAATTTACATCTACTATGTAGACTTAGGTCTTGAAGCTTAATTATTAAGTAGGCTTCAATACATCATAAATTTGGGTCAAATTTCATATCTTTATCATATCAAGTTCTTCTATCACATTTTACTATATGACGTATTATTATTGATTCTTAGATCCCATCAAACAATATTACACATGATAAAGTGTAATCAATTGAAACTTGAGTTAAATATCATCCTAAATTTACATCTACTATGTAGGACTAGGCCTTGAAGCTTAATTAATTCCCTGCTGTTGTTAGCAAGAATGAATGAATGAATAAATAAATAAATAAGCTTATGAGGCAGATTCTTAGAATTTAGGCTTACAATAATGCAAGGCTAGCTAGTCTAACTTATTTTCAATTTTAATATTATATTTATATCAAAGCAAGATTTTCTTCCAAAAATCTGATTTTGATGAAATATTTATTCTTTTTTATGATTAACTTGGCATGTTTTTATCAAGTTTGATTTAGAAACACCTAATCTTTTGCAGTCACAAGCAAAACATACCCACCTTCTCTTCCAGCTATTTATCTCCTTACTATCACTCCCCACTTGCCTCCCCTCTGATCTCTCTCAATGTCCATATAAAACAAGGACAGCACTTTGAATCGATCACTTTCTGATAGGTCCACATCCGGAATATATAATCCCCAACGCTCCACAAATCGCCAAAAGGAGAAAGAATTAAGCTGAGAATGAATAGTTTCAACGACCAACACAGAAGGCACAACGCAACTTGGAGTTCGTTTCCTCTTGCTCTCTGCGGCAGTTCCAGCAGTGGCAGTGTGAGGAGGGTCGGTGAAGAGGAGGTGGAGGACGACGTCGGCGACGATCTCGTGTCCAGAGTGGTCCCTGCGGTGACGGTGGTGCTGGAGGGCCGGTCGATCTGCCACCGCATCAGCCTCCACAAGCATGAGAGCTACCGAAGTCTGGCCAAGGCTCTGAGAAAGATGTTCGTGCAGGATAATACAGAAGAAGAAGTAGAAGTTGGTGGTCCTGATGATGATGGTGTTGATCTCTCCAATGCAATTCCTGGCCACCTTGTCGCTTATGAAGATATTGAGAATGATCTTCTTCTTGCCGGTGACCTCAACTGGAGGTGAGTCCCTCCCTCTCTCTAGAAATTGTCTCTATTAAAGATTTCAACTGCGACAATAATTTGGTTGGGTGATAAATCAAACTATACAAATGTTACAATACTTTGTTTAATGAATCTATTTGTGTAAGATTCCATTTGATGTCTTCTTTCACTTTCTTTAATTTCGGTCACTAGAGGGATCCTCTCAGAGTTATATACTTTGTTTGATGAATCTACATCAATTTATTACGATATTTATCCTTATTTTGTATATAAATCTTTGTTTAATAATATGCAGACTGTATTATATATTTTTATATATGCTCAAAGGGAATATGGCTTCTTTTTGAAGAGTTCTTATGTGGTAAAGTATTTCACATAATGAATCATTTTGATGAACGCACGTTATTGCATGTCTGTATTAGGGATTTTGTACGTGTGGCGAAGAGAATCAGGATATTGCCAGCCAAGAAGGGAAACTCAAGGAAGAATACAAGAGCAGTATGATAGTAAGACACCGTTTGTTATGCAAAACTATTGAGTGATAAATTAAAATTGAAAATTTCTTATATATGTGTTCAAATCCTGCTCATATCTTCTTTAATTTCTTGCATTAGACATATTTTTTTCATTTTGATAATGTATGCATAGCATGTTTCTAATGTTATGTTCAATATTTATTTTCAGTCCCGGAAGAATTTTGTCCAAGATAATTATAGAAGTTCTTCATCACTATTTATTCAACTAATTCTGGATCTTAATCACATGAAAACAAATTATTACAAGCGTTTTCATTGGCATCGATCTGAATAAACATAAAATAATTAATACACATTTATCAGAGCTGGTAAGTTTGGAAATAGATATTGGCAGTTAACCCATGACTTGTGTAAGATTTGGTAAAATGGTGCAACACGAGCTCCGCTTGCCAGCGTATGACCAAGTGGGGACGATAGCTGACTTTTTCTTTCATTCATTCTCAGTACAACCAAAAAAAAAAAAAAAAGCTCTCTGGCTGACATATTTCTCTCTTCCCACATAAAACATCCTGCCAATGCATAATATTTTCCCCCTTAAGTATTTATAAGCTTTTGAGTCGAAAGAGCACGTTTGGCTTGACAAAAGAAGCCACATTGGTTTAACATCTAGCTATTGCAGCTAATTTTTTTCCATAATCACTGATACATACTGAATAAATACTATAAATTGGAATTCCATAAAGAGTACCATATACCAAATGTTTATCGTTGCATGAAGCCTTCGACAAGCTATTGTCGCTGCAGCAAGTGGAGTAGTCAAATTAAAACAATCTCAAAAAACTAAATCATGTTTAGTGCCATGAGAGGAACATATTAAATAAAGGGCTCCAAGCTTCTCCGGCTGAGTCTAGCAGCAGTAATATTATTTCCAGGAATATTCAGGTGTATCACAATGCACACGACATTCCACGTGGTAAGATGATCAAATTTGTCGCCAATTTAATTTGAAGATTCAGCTTCCCGTCTGGGTAAGCAGGACTCCGAGTTCAGTTTCCACTGTCTTCAAATGGAGGCAAGCCCCAGTCATTAGGGTTGAAATCCAACAATGTGTTCAAAACTTGGTCTGCTGTATCATGAAAGGATTTATCAAGCCTTGGATCTGGAACCATAACAACAGACCTGCATGACATTCATAAGCCAAAGGATTAAGACCAGGAATACGGAAAAGGTAGTTACTTCTATTGTACAATTTATCTACGCCTAATTAGGAATTAAATGCAGAGATAAAACGTCCTAACAACACATTCGTAAAAGCTTGGTTGGCACTTGGCAGTCAGTCGTTTGTGCTTGGGGTTCCAAGAAACATGGGTCTTTAAGATGCATCAACATCGTACTAAAATATTGCCAAGATAAGTCACCAGGTCATTCTTTTTACGAAACAAACAAAGGTCATTTTCACAATATCCAGGGACCACATCAAATGCCTTCCAGCTCTGCATCAACACAGATAACTCATCACTTGCTTCATCTTGTCTATTTCTCGTTATCCTAGATTTATTTTCTTTCCAGACAATATTGCTAGACAGTACCCAAGCAACGGCTTGATCTTATTGCCCTACACAGATTACACATTCTGACAGCAGCCTGTGATGAGCCAACTTAACATTCTAGATCCATTTTTGACTTGCCAAACTAAGTTTAGGCCTCTTAATCATGGTGACTAACATAGAATAGTATATCAAGAAAAATCAATCAGCCATAAAACTCCAAAAATTGAATTTTGGTCACTTCAGAAGTTCAAAGCTAGCCAATTAGAGCCTATGTGAGCTAACTAGAGTCTATAATTCAACAAAGGTGCACTAAAAAAATTATTTAGATTGTGTTTGTAAAAAGGTAATGTAAGAAATAAGGCAGATGCGAAAGGAATCTTGATTTTTGTTCTATCACAACCACTAGATACGAGACAAACTACATAAACATACTGCACAAGGATTTAGGCCCCCAACTTCCAATATCTGTAGTTTTTCTTCTCTGCCAAAAGATCCTCTTCTGTCTAGGAGAGAGAAAGAGATAGGGGAAGGCCTCACCTCCCCTGTTTCAATCTCTATCTTACCCATCCTCTCATGTTTTTCCCCGCCTTAGGTTGATGCCTGATAGAATTAGAATGTAAAACATACTATTTATGGTTATGTAAAGTATCTTTCCAGCCTATAAACAAAAATATAGTTATGTAATGTAAGTAAGAATGAGAGCCCCGCTTTATATCAACGTGACAGATGCACTCTGTCATATTTGACTGGACTGTGGACAAACAGCTTGTTTCTTCAATAAATAGGCTGAACAACCTATCACAGTATATAAAGTGAAGATTTGATCTAGCCCAGGCACCGATACCTTGTTGATGCGTTTGTATATGTCATGCAACTAAAATGGAGGATATGAAATGGCCAAAAAAAAATAATGGAGGTTAATATGAAATTGAAAGATCTGGCAACCAACATATCAAGATATTTTACCAAACTTTGCCCTTAGCACATTTAGGAAAATAGAATCTGCCAATCTGCCAATGTTACACTGAAATATCATAAAATACACTTACATCCCAGCATTTTTAGCTGCAAGGACTCCAGAGGGTGCATCCTCGAAAACAAGAATATGACGGGGATCTATTGGTCCTCCCTGTTGACCATAACCAGTACTTAAAAGCATCACTATACATGATTTCAAATTCAACAAAACAAAATAATTAGTTAAATGAACTAAGATCAAAGCTCAAAGGATGTAAAGGAAAATTTTGTTTAATCCTTAAATCAGCAGATAGCTTGTCAACAAAGAAGCATGTGACGTTCATAGGATGGGTATACCTCAAATCTCTTGGCTGCAGTTAGGAATACGTCTGGAGATGGTTTGCCTTGTTTAACTTCAGGGTCATCACCAAGAACAACATGATGCATCAAAGAAAACAGTTCACCATGTCTTTGCGTTTTTAATTCAAAATGTCTCCTGTGAGATCTGCAATAAATAGTAGCGTGAAGCGTCAATACAAATTTACTTCAAAATTTAATAGTTCTTTTTGTATTTAAGAGGGTGAACGGTACCCAGTTGCCAAGCAAATAGGAACTCCTTTGACATGTAGATGCCTGAGTAACCGGCTAGCACCTAAACAGAAGATCGCATTAGAAAATGGGATGGTATGCATGACACAGAAATTCATACCTTTATGTTAAATAAGCCAATCATAGCAAAAATGTCAGATTCAATGCACGATAGTCCATTAATTAGTCCTATCAATTTAAAGAGAGCATAAGTCAATCCCTTCAATAACATAGCAGTATACATTGCATATATTTGTAGTTCATAAGTTTGAGACTGACGTGTAAAAGGAAAGATTCATTAGCATGATATTTGTGTGGTATGTAGAAGAGAGAAGAAAAAAGGAAGAGAGGAGAAGAAAGATACCACAAGGCCTGTGTCTCACAATAGATTATTTTTAATTACAATATGTTAGATAATGACAAAAGAATAATGTTTACAACAGCAAAGTGTAAAGCACATTATAAGTTTATATTTAAATTACATAGAAGTACACATTTCCAATACTTGAAATAACTCCTGTTTGATTTTAGCATGAATGAGCAAAAATTCAATCGCATGACATCTATTATGACATTTATAGAGAAATAGGATACCAAAAGGCACATGCCATCCAGGTAGGTGATCTTAGATGCAAATTTTGAGATATGATTAAAATATGACAGTGGAAACTAAAAAGTGAGGAACAAATTATAACAAATTGTAAGTTCATCTGTCGTGTCGCCATCCCACTCGTCCTGAAGGTCTAAAATAATCCTCAGGGTTAGTCAAAATAGGGGAAAAAATTAAACAGAGTGGTCAATGAGGCATGCAAAGACACTGATATAAATATTTCTTACCAATTTAATAAAGCAGGGTCCCAATTCATAACCCCTTATCAAGCAAAGGCATTTCAAAAAGCAACTTGAAAATGGATAAGACAACCCTTAAGTCAAGAATCTATGTCAAAAGTCAGCAGTAACATGCTAAGGCCTTTACCCTGTAGCAGGCAGCAACATAAACAAGGCAGGGAACTTTTCAACTAGGCATGATGTAATTCAAAGTATATAGAGATTTGAATTTTCCAGGACTGAAGATGCTTAAAGTTTTTTTTCATACTTGTTCACAGGGTGAAGATATTAAACAGGGAATCCTAAACAGATTTTAACGATTAACTATATATGGTAAAAGACATTAATAAACCTTTCTATAATTACTTCACTGGAAGGGGGCCACATCTAAAACGCTAAAGAGAAAAGAGAATAACTAAACATGAATTACCAATCTCCATTTATTACCTGGCATAAGTTCACTTGATGGAAACAATTTCTGCAGCATCTCTTCTCTTTCTACAAGAAATTGTTCAGCGCTAAGAGAATCACTGATTCCAGTCTCTTCAACAAATACCTTAGCAGCCTCTATTGCCTTCTTTCCCATCATCTTTGCCTTCAGAGACCAATCAAAGGTTTTATTGTATCTGGCAAGTATAATTTCCTGAACTTCAGTATAAAATTTCTCTGTGTCTGCAAAAGGAAAACATAAAGTACTTAAGCATAGGTTATTACTCAACTATTGTGGGCTTATGTAGCAAGCTTTACTGGGAACAAGCAGACGCAAAAATATATATTTGCCACCATATTCTTAATCCAAATCCGAATATCTGTACGATCAATCTTAGGAAGTCTATTCAGCAAAAAAAAAAAAAGAACTAATCAACGGCGTGGACGATTAGACTTTTTTTTATAATGCTTGAAACGTAATTAGTTTCACGCCTCCCATAAACTTCGGAAGTTGTAACTCATGAGATACTAGTATCGCCTGAATAGTTATGAGCAAGAAGAGTAGGATCAAAGAATAAGAATATACAAATTCATGATTCGTGACACGGGAACTTAAAGGTGATGAGATTGCAAATATTGCGAAGAGATTAAGTTGCCCCACACTCTGCTAGCCCCACAAACTGGAAGTTCAGAGAGGCCAACAGGTTCCTGATGAAACGGAAATGTGTATTGGCTCCTAAGCCAATCTCGAGCAAGGCATGATATACATCATGAAACAAGTTGGCGAAACGAAGGAATACAGCGATCCCTGAAAGTTGAAGCTAAATCTTTCGACAGAGGCAATTCATAATATTTTGGATAGCATGAGCAACGCTGTTCGTTAATTTTAACAATGTATGCATCGTTGCGTTCAATCCTTGAAGTACAGAATCTTAAACTGGAACAAAGTAATACTCTAATAGTTTAATGACAGAGGAAGTCCAATTTCACAGTGCAGAATGTAAAATGAAATCAATTGGAGCAGAAAAACCAAGTTGATGAGAGATGAATTACCGAGCAAGAGGCCATCCATGTCGAAGATGACGTGGCTGACGGTCGCTCTGCGAGAGAGGGAGCCGGAGGGACCGACCATTGTAGTGTGGGTTCGAATTTCACGGCGTCTGCGCAGAGAAACACAGATCTGCGGTATAACAGCGGGATTAAGAGAGGCCTTGTGACCAACCAGGGGCACGGTGTGTCGGAGCATAAAAACGCGTCCTGGAGATTCCCTTCCTGATCTTTTGCTTTTTCTTCACTCAATTGTAAATAATAATTCTAATTCTATTATTAAAATTTTTTTTAGTGTAAATTAGATTACAAAAAGAATTATATGTTTAGAACTGGAAGAGTATTATTGTGGAAACAGTAATATCCTCCGAGTCGTTGGTAATGTACGATAAGAATATTAATATTTTTAATGGCGGTGCTTCGAACGTGATCAACTTAATTAAATCGGATGTTTATTATATTCAGCTGCGTGGGGTCAATTATGTCAACTGCGCCGATAAATTAAACACTTGTTTGGATCCTCGTTTGTGAGTCATTTGAAATTTCTGGGCTATTTTGGTGGACTTTTTATCCATTCAACATTTAAGAAAAAGTTGGGTACGAGGGAGCATAGCTCTTGGGTGTTTTTAGGGGGGGAAAAAAATTGCTCCGTTGGTGCCGCGGAGAGAGAGCAGAAGATGAGGATGAAAAAAGAGACAAGGGTACCTTAACCTAACTAATTTGATGCCTACAAATTTTTTTTTTTAAAAGTTAGACAAAATAAAAGTCATTTTTTTTTATACCACTGATCTAAACATACCCTTAAACTTACCATTTACCTCAACCCACATCTAATATGTCAATCAGTCAGACTGCCACAAACGTTTGTTAATGTCTTCTCACTTCCTTTCCCTTCTTTTCTTGCGCTTATCACTTGACAAGTAATATGGACAGTTTAAGTTGACTGAGTTTAAAACATTAAGTTAAATGATTACAACATATGAGATTAATTCATCAGCGTAAAACATGATTAGAAATTAAAAGAAATTATATAACATTCAATTTAGGATTTATTGATGATAAATTGAGGCTAGGCTTATCGTCCAAATTGGTCTAAAAAAAAACGATGTCGTTGTACCGAAATTCCTAAACGCCCAAACGCGGCCGACAGCCACAGGCTTCCCAAAAATTTCCCGCACTAACTCGTTGGCGCTCCATGGGACGCAATTCCCACCAACAATTTTAAATCTCTCTATCCGCCACACCAGCAACCCACCAATCAGAAGTGCCCATTACTAATCCAACGACTGCACTATTCCCCGCACCCCTCACACGGATACCAATCTCATCCAACGGCCACGATCATTCTTCTTTCGCAACGCTCCAAATATAAATCGAAACTCCTCCCCCACGCCAAATTCGCTCTTCATTTCCATTTGACTGTGTTAGCTGCGGTCGAAAAGCCAGAGAGCATCAAACATGTCAGGAAGAGGAAAGGGAGGTAAGGGTCTCGGAAAGGGAGGAGCCAAGCGTCACCGTAAGGTTCTGAGGGATAACATTCAGGGAATCACCAAGCCGGCAATTCGTCGTCTGGCCAGACGTGGCGGAGTTAAGCGAATCAGCGGTCTCATCTACGAGGAGACCCGTGGGGTGCTCAAGATTTTCCTCGAGAACGTGATTCGCGATGCTGTTACTTATACTGAGCATGCTCGCCGGAAGACAGTCACTGCCATGGACGTCGTGTACGCTTTGAAGAGGCAGGGCAGGACTCTCTACGGTTTCGGAGGCTAGAAAATTAGGGTTTTTCTACTGGTTTCTAGATTATAGCCTTCTGTAGCCTCGATGTGTTGATATAGTGTAATAGCTGTTGAATGCTGAAGTTTAGCAATGTTTCTGTTTTAAATACGGGAGATCTTGATGTGGCCTTTTGATCTATGTGAAGCGATTTGTCGGTGAACATAGTTGTTGGGATTTAATGTAATCGTGATTCTGATTTAATATAAATGAAATTGGGTACTTTTGGCTGGTGTAATTAATCATTTTGTATGGTGGGGTTTATTTTTTAGCTCAGTTTGTTTGTTGATTAGACATAGTCGTTCATCCATACTCGATGAATGGCGCATGTTTGATGGTTAGTTGCTACATTGTGGATATTTTATCCGCAGTACATTTCTGGGCAGTAGTTTATTCGCCAGTACTAATGGGTATCTGTTTGGGATTTACCGCTGAATTGCTTCTAATTAGTGCTGATTGATATCTCGCTGGCTTGGAGGGAAGCGGTATAGGATCATGATTTGGATATTTGATTATGCTAATTGGGAATTTGGGATGTTTGATTATGCCCGTTCGGAAACTTAGGGGGTGTTTGGATAAAAACCAACCATGATTTCAGAAGTGCTTTTACGGATTACGAAGTAATATGTGGAGGAGATTACCGTTTTGCAGAAAAGTGATTCTGAAACCTAAGTTTTGGCTTTTGCCAAACACCCCCTTAGTTGGTTTTAGACTCTTATTCCCAATAAAAAAAAAAAAAGGCAACTGGGTCAATAATGTGGATCGGGTCCTATTGGGTCTCAAATACAGGGTGAATGTGGGGCAAATTTTGAATGATTGTGTGTATTTTGGACTTGTTATGGGCCGGGCTTTTGTCGCCAGTACCATCGCTCTACTTGGCATCGGGCTTGGAAATCAGAGTCCTTCAGAATGTATTTTTTTTTTTGGGCCACAACTTCAGAATGTTATTCATTAATTATAAACAAAAGTGGTTGGAGTAATCCTTAATAAGAACTAAAATTTGAATATCTGATAAGAGATACTTATATTTAATACGTGATAGTGTTTCAAACAGAATTGTTTCTAATTAAAAAATATCTATATTTTAACTCAAAAAAAAATGTTATTATCAGATTATCTATCAATTTATAAATAAGATAAATTAATTTGAAAAAAATATAAATATGAATATGAATAATCTAAAGTAATTTAGTAAGTTCTTTAATTTTTTTAAATTAATCAATTGATTTTTATATTAAGAATGGGAGTTATAGTAAATTCATCAAATTGTTTCAATCTTGTCAATTTAATTTTTTATTTTTTTGCCATCATTCTTTTGGGGAAGAAACAAATGTCCTACAGTGAAGAAAAGTGCAGGGAGCATAAACAGGAACTCCAAGAAAGTCGTGAACCAGGCCCAAAAGTTTTAAACCTTATCAATTGAAATAATCAATGATGTCATATACATCATTTTCCTTTTCTTCTCTTTAGCCTTTTTTTTTTCCCCATAATCTTCATATTCTACTTTTTCTTAGCCAATAGTTATAGAGATCAAGACTCTTCATGATTTTAGCTATAAGATAGTGCCTTTTTTGTTTTTCTTTTTTTTAATTTTTAAATATTTTACATTGTCTTCCCACTGCATTATATGCAGGTTCTAATAGTTCTTTTTGAGCACAGTCTCATCCTCTTCTATTGGATCCTTTGTTAGGCTAGCAGCATCTTCCTCCTAATTTTGTTTTAGACAGACTTATAGTGTGAAACAATTAATTATCGTCCAGTTCATATGTATCAAAGCCTAATATTTTAAAATTTCTATCTATTCTAATTATTTATGATTATTTATACTATTTAAATTTTAAAAGATAATTTTGTATGTGTCCGTACATATCTGAGTGACGAAAAGAAAATCAACAACCAATTGTAAATTATAGAGAAGTATGATATAAATATTTTCACATTCCAATTGGTCAGGAAAACTGAATGAGTTATTTTTTTGGGTAATTATATATCGATTTCTGACCTGATTTTGAATTGAGGGTGTTTTAATACTTGATGATTAGGTTTTGCAGACATTTGGTATATCTGTAGGACGAAAAAAATTATACGAAGGCCTAAGGAATCGATCATATTGTTTGTTCTGCCTTACAATAAAGAACAAAAAAGGGAGAATAATTAGCATTTGAAAAAAAAAACTTTTTTAGATTTTATAAATAAATTGAAGATAAATGGAATAAGAAAAAATATGAAGGGAAATTTATTTCATCATTTTTTCCCTTCAAAAGTAGCAATGAAATTCGTGAAATATCGACAGAATAATCATACCATATATATATCATCATTGAATTCATTGAAATCCTCCTTTGCTCAGAAGCATGGGCATTTTTCGTTTTGTTGAAGATAAGACATTTAGTACTATTATCTTATAATCTCTGTGAATAATAATAAGCTTCACCCCGGAAAAAAAAAAAGAAATAACAAAGCTCTTCAATATGTCATAAAATATACTGCCTCCGGTCCTAATTATAAGATTGTTTATAAACTACAAGAAGATCTTATAATTAGGACCGGAAGTAGTATAAAATAAAGCCTCGTTTATTTCGATGCTCAACATTTTAATCACATTTTTTGCCGTCTGATCCAATTGGGGGAAAAATATAAGAACGACTTATCATGTTGATTATGGAAAATAACTTTGATTGCCATTAATCATGTCCTTAAATTAAAAACTAACCCTATTTGTTGGAGCATTTAAAAGCGAAAATCTTGCATCATTTCTATCTTCACTACATTTAATTAACAAAGCGGTCCAATAATATCCGCACACTTCAATATAGTGGTTGATTCAAAAGAGCTGGCATCTTAATTAACTGGGCAACGCTAATTAACCACTCATTATGCAATGATAGTAATCTTTACTAGCTAAATTGTTAATAATATTGGTTGCCAAAATGCTACTCCTCCGGTCCTAAATGTAAAACTCTTATACTAATGTGTATAAGGGTCTTATATTTAGGATCGGAGGAGGATAACTTGAATCATTATTTCTTCTTCATCGCCATAGGAATTAATGAGAATTTATATTGTTGTATTGTGCTTAAATTAATTACTTCCATGAATAAAATTTGTGCTGTTTCATTTAATTTGAATAATTGATATTTGATTTATTATTTAAAAATGTATACAATTTAAACCATTAATGTTTTTTTAAAAAGAAATAACTAATTAGAAGACTAACTAGAAATCAATAAACAAAACGCTCCACAAACTGTATATTTGCATGATGATAATGACTCAATACATGCAATTTGTTGATGGAAAAGTCAAATAAATTTTATCAAGTCGCCTACTACCTACTCAATTGGACAGACCTTTGGCCACACCACGCACACACTAACAACTTCTCAGTCAATATTAGAATCGCTTCTTAATTAATTAAGGAGTAAATTAAAATGATAGTTTTGTCAACTTTCAAAGACACAAACATGTATTCTTAATTTTAAAGTCTGCCATCTCTATCATAGGACTGCTAATTACGCGGTATATAGATTTAGGTGTGGTAATGTGCTTATTTCAATCCAGGCCACTTGCATTTTGAAACCTACACAAAAGAGTAACAAACCCAGCCAAGCCTGTAGCATCCGAGTACCAAAAATGAATCAAAATCCGAAAAATTCATAAATTAAACCTTTTATTGCCATGTTTATGGGGAAAATATGTAAAGACTAAAGAGAGAATAATAATACCTGATTTTTTAATCAATAGAAGTTTGATAGTGTTACAAGAAGGACCAAACATAAGCTCTTAATGTAAAAGAGCTTTCATGTTATTAAGCTATAAGGTGTAAATAACAATAAGGTGAAGGTCATTTTTGCGCTAGAAGTATTAAGGGAGGAATTGTGAGTATCCAGAAATTTTATTTGCCTAAATATTATCCCAGGGATATTAAAAAAAGACTAATATCACCATTTTCATTAAAAAATTAATATTGATTATTAAAAAATTATTATTGATTGTTAATATTTTTAATTGAAAGAGTGACGGTGCTTCTTCTTCAGTACTTTCAAGACGACATTAAGCCATCCATGGCTCCTTGCGAGTGCAAAAATCACCTTTCACCCATGATAATACTTGTGATCCTCTATAAAATTCTTGCCTTGATCTGTACGTATACGTATTGGTATTTGCTGGAAAATGGATAAAAAGTCGTGAAATTTAATGTGCAATGGACTATTCTCTGGTCTTATACATGTCTTCTAGATACCTTTCCCGATCTTTAATTTTCTAGAAGCCATGGACGAATAAGCCAAAAGCAGCTGCCCAGTAACACCAAAAGTAAATCCACATATGTCCCTTTATGTATACTCCAAAACACGAACATTACTGTCTTACAATCCTTCCCTCTCACCTTCTTATATAAAAGCCCCCTTTCTCTCTAAGACAATTCCTCTCTAACACCAGTAATCTCTCTTCGCCATGGCTTCTTATCTAGATTTCTTCCCTCAACAACCAGAAAGAGAACAACCAGAGCAACAGGAATATGAAGAAGAAGAAGAAGAAGAAGCACTGTCTCTCTGTGACCTTCCACTGAACCATGACGTCACCAAAAGATGCAGTGGTGTAGAGGTAGATGACACGGCGTCGTCCAGGCAGAGTCGTCGATCATCCTTATCGGAGGCCATGGATTTCTTCGAATTCTTCAACGACGCCACCTCTGATATGCGCTCTGCTGACGACATCGTTTTCTGCGGGAAGCTCTTCAAAGACACTGACCGATCGCCTCCCAAGAGCAACATGAAAGATCTGAGCAGACCGCCGGTATATCGCCGGAGATCCGAGTCTCTGTCCACGTTGCAATCTGGCGTCACCCGATCCAACAGTGCCACTACGTGTGGGAATTCTCGCCGGTTAATGATGAGGAACAGCAGGTCCTTAGATTACCGGAGACTCCACCGATCTTCGAGCTCCATCGTGATGCCGGCGGCAGAAATTGAGAGGAATCCTTCGGTGAGGAGCGCTGTGCATTCGGATATCGTAGTGAAGAAGTCAATAAAGCCGCGGTGGTTCTTCCTATTTTTTGGGATCGTCAGGGTACCATCAGAGATGGAGCTCAGAGACATTAAGAATAGGCAATTTCGTCGGAATCCTTCGACGACGATGTTTCCGACGTCGGACGGCAGCGGGAAGCTGGCGGTGAATCGGAGTTCCAGCAAGGTGTCGTGGAAAATACTGAAGGCATTGAGCTGCAAGGACCATACGAGTGTGTCCGTGACGACGCCGTTTGTGGCGCCGCAGACGACATAGGAAATTAGGTCACGTGACGAGCATGCGTATGGTAGAGGAAATTCTCGTTATGGGGAGGACGTTCAGGAAAGCCCGAATATTCGTTGGATGAGAGGGAGACAGTTAACAGAGACCATCCATGATGTGCATGGGAGGGGTATTTTGGTAACTGAAAGTATGTGAGTGTATGTGCAAAGCTTGAAGGCGAGGACAATATAATAATCACTTTACGTAGAAGGAAAGATTGTGTACAGTGGCGGACCATGGAGGATCATAGTCCTCTCTCTGTCTCAGTAAATGAGAGGATATATTAATTTATTTTGATTATATTGTTGCCCTTTTTTCCCCCTCTCTTGAATCTGTGGCTTTTGTTTGTTGGGCGGTTGCCGGTTGGCCCTTGGAATGAATGACGGTCACGAGATATCCGACTGTGACATAAAGATTTTACAGAATAGGAGCCTAGAAATTTCTTAGTTGTATTCTTTTCGTTTTTTTAAGAGAGAATAAATAAAAAAAAGTATTAGTGTTTATTTCTTTATCTAATTTTTATTTTTATAGTTTTAAATTATCAATTTTGAGTTCTATAATTTCATAACAGTTTGCTTTAAGTTTAAATATAAAGATTAAAATCAAAATTCATTAAAAGTATAGAAACTATTGGTTAAATTCAGATTAAAAAAATTATGATACTATTCCTATATATGGTACAAGGAAAGTGAAGGGAAGGAGAGGAGAAATTTTAGTGAGCTTGATTTAAAAAATTAGAGAAATAGAGTTTTAAAATTTTAATAAAAAGAATATGTAAGATAAAGGAGTACTATAAATTAACTAAAAGTTTTTAACCCTATTTTTTTATTTTTTAAATTGAGCTCAATAAAATTTTTGTCCTCCCGATTTTTCTTGTACCAAACAGAGAAATAAAACCAATAACTTAAAATTATAGAGAACAAAAGTAAAATTTGAAAATGACAATAATACTATAACCTTTATAGTTTTATATTTTTCCTATTTTTTCAAATAAAGGCAGCAACCTTTGTAAAGATAAATGATTGGCACTCATGTTTTTACTTTTTGTATTGTTGGCATCGTTGGGATGTCATATTTTGACGTGGGAATCAATTTTGCTTCTTCCCTACTTTGAAAATCACGCACCATGGAAAATAATTGGGACAATTGCAATAAGATCCCACATAAAAGAATTAAATACAAAAAAACTCTATTAAAATTATCAAATTAATCTGGAGTCCTAAAGGGCCGTATTGTAATAAATTTTATTTGTTTAATTGTCAAATTGTTTTTAAATTGTTGCATGAGTTGCACGCGTTGTTAATATCTGCTGCAATAACTATTAATTGTTACACCTTAAGTTGTTAACTACTGCACTTTCAGTTGTCAATACATACTTTTGAAAAAAAAAGACAATTTGATATTTAAATAAATAAAATTTATTACAATGAGGTTTCTTAAGATTTTAGAATAATTTGATGATTTTAAAAGAGTTTTTTTATATTTAATTCTCTTAGGTGTGACCTTATTGCAATTTTTATAAAATAATTCATGTGATCTTATCATCTTAACGTTTATTTCCTCTTACATGTTTTAATAGTATAACATATTTTCTTTCAAATTTTTTTGACCTTTATAACGTATTTTTATTTAAATAATTAATTTTCATTTAACATTTTTCTTTATCTAATCTAAATAATTGAATCCATGTTCCTCATCGATCAGAGGAACTGCTTTCATTGCTTGGTTTTGCATATAACCAAGTATGTACCAAATATATTTGGCATGTCTCACCCTAGCAGCCCCTTCCTTTTCCTTAAATTTTCCCACCTCAACTCTCAAATGTTTATAATTTCTTTAATCAAATAATGATTTAAAATTACGAGCAATATATAAACAAATAAAAGTGTACAAGGTTAGGCTGACAAAGTTTAACCTTATTTATATAAACCCTAATTAACATATTTGTATACCAAGAAAAGAAATGAGACCCACGTAATTGTAGCTTCTTATTATATATAGTTATATACATACAAGGGTAAATATATTCAGAAGATGAACATATGCTCCCAATTAAAACTCAAGTTGAAATTTTTATATTTTGAAGAAACGGCCAGCATATGTATCAATTTGATATATTATTCCTTGATCGATGATGACTATTCTACTTTAGACTAGTCCAATGCTGTCGTATTTCATGAACGTAATGAACCTCTAAATATAATAAAGAAGAGATGATCCCTCACACCATCACAATGTTAAATAAAAATAATACTAGTATGTTTGGCAAAAAAATAAAAATAATACTCCCCTGGTTTTTAATACTGGTTTCTGTTCTTAATATAAGACCTCGGTTGACTTTTATTTTGGTTTCAAATATAAGACCTCAATCCACTTTTTTTTCTAATATCTATGAAGTTTTTTTTTTCAAATAGTCCTTATAATAATAGTAGTTTTAGCCAATACACTTGATTAGTAAGGATATTTTAGGAAAGACAACACCTATTTATTACAATGAACTAACTTAACTTATTTTCTTAATCTCCTCAAATTAGTCAGCTAATCCTTATAATTAGGACAAGAGGTAATATAAAACCTAATTGACTAATTTGAATAGATTAAAAATGTTAGTTAAATTAATTAATATGATATGACCTGTGGTTATTAATATAACAGCTCTTTTGACTTTTATTTTTGTCCTAAATATAAGATCTTAATCTACTTTATCTTTCATATTTATTCATATTTTTAAAGATAGTATTTGTAATAATATTAGTTCTGGCCAACACTTAATTAGGGAGGGTATTTTTGAAAAGATAATACCTATTTATTACAAATAGATAACTTAACTAATTTTTTTAATCTACTTATATTAGTCAACTAACTAACCAGAGATAGTATATTTTTTCCAAAACACTTTAAGTATTTTTCTTAATTTCCTCATTTCTTCTCATCTTTTATTATTGTTGAGAGAATATCAATAGGGTTAATTTAAAAAAATTGAAAAACATATGACATAGACCTTACATATAAGATGAATATTAACTCTCTAATTATGTCCTATATTAAATACCGGCTGAGAATTATGTTATTTCATTTTTGAATGAAGTTGTTCTCACTTGTACCATTCAACAAAAATTAAAGTATGATCATTTTATTCATTCAGTTATTGACTTATCAATATATTATATAAAAATTTAAAAAAAGGCCACCGATATATATTGTTCTTATATATAATTTAATTATAATAGTTAATAAAATATTCTATATTTTATGAGCAAACACACGACACACAAATTTCTTGAAACAGGGAAACTTCTTCATCAAACAAAAATATCGGAATTTTTTCATATCGTCCCTCTAATATTTATGTTATAAAATTTCCGCAGGCATATACTGGGTATAAAATTCGAAATCGATATATATATATATATATATATATTGACATTGCCAAAAGTCCAAAACTCATTGACTGGGGACTTAATATAAGGATAGGAGGATGCCGTAATCTCTCGAAAATGATAATATCTCATTCTTTTTTTTTGACCAGCGATAATATCTCATTCTAGAAATTAAAAAGGAAATTAATAATATAAAAAAATATTGGGTTAGGCTATTTCCCCCTATTTTGTTGTTATATATATGTACACACACACATATATAAATATAACCCAAGATGATAGCTAAAAGGATTTTCTGTTTGTTTAGTTAATTAAATTAATTAATTAATGATAATAATAAGATTAATATTAAGATTAAGATTACACTTGGAAAGTGTCAAGAAGTGAGGTGGGAATCAATAGAAGCTAGCAGAGAAAATCGACTCATTTATGTTTGGATCTATTATTAGCTATTGCTTTCAACTGATATATATATATAATATAAATATATAATTTAATAATGGAATTAGTTCACCAATAATAATAATTATTATTATTTTGAAAAGTTTGATAGTTTGATTTCGATTTGATTTTGTGAAGAGAAGGAAAAGACGTTGGTGGCTCAAAGAAGCAATAAATGAAAATGAAAAAATGGCCAAGTTGCCACCAACTCTTCCACTATTTCTCTATTTTCGTCATTGTTACGCGCACGCCCACGTCTCCTTTGTTTGTTTGTTTGTTTTTTTTTTTTTGGGTTACGTTTAAACCTACTGAAAAGTGGGCATAGTACAATAGTGACATTGGCAACCAAATTAAATCACGTTATTTATTTATTTTTTCATCTATGAACAATATGTTTTGCACAAGCTTTTACTTTTCTGTATATTATGAGCATTTGAACCCTACATTTTATTCACGCATTTCAATTCACTCACGTGCGTTATTTGTTTTAGAGGAAATTTGTATACATTTTTGGAAAAAAAATTAGAGATTTGCATAATTTAAAAGAAATTTAAACAAAGAATTTGTATTAATCTTCAGAGAAAATTACTAAAAAAAATCTCATATTACAAGACTCGGATACAACTCTATTTCAGTTATGCGCAATCTGCTTATAATTATATATAAAACAGAAGACATTTGCGCATATCTAAAAACATGTGCACATATTTTTGAAGAAAAATTGTAACTGCTAAAAATAAGTTGTACCAACTTAACGATTTATATCTTCAGGTATTCTTGGGCAATAAGTTTTTCAACGGAAAAATTTTCAGCAATTTTTCCTAATTTTAAAATATGATACTTGCATATTGTCTACAAACAAAACTCTTATATTGGCAATGAAATTTAAACTTGTAATCTCGTAAATTATGACTCGACTTCTTACTAACTGGCATCTTGTATCTCCATTTGAGAAAATTAGCTTTTTTCCCCTAAAAAAAATGGACAAAGGGTATCGTTTGTCATAAATAAAGACTAATCTATTTTCAAATATGGATAGTAAATAGTACATTCTAGCAACTAGTTTTTTTTTTTAAATACAAACAGTGAGATTAAAATGTTTTAAAATTAGTACATAAATGATATTAATTGCTTTTTTTAGTTTAAAAATTTATTATTTTATAAGTTACTTTA